GTGGTCCGCGACAGCCGCGTGCGGCAAATCGATTACCCAAAATCGTTAGTAACGCCCGTCTCCCCTGTAATAACATCTCGATACCTCAGTGGGGTGCGCCGCGAGCGAAGTGGGCGGTTTGACCTACATTCGACGGACGCGCGCTACGGACGTTCGCCGTGTATTTATAATCTCATATGAGACTGGTGTCATTACTCGATTCTGGAAGTCAATCACAATAGTCACCGTGTGATCTTAACCTGGACCACGGTAGCAGGATTACTGGCCAACATTTTCCTGTCATATACCTCACTATAGTGTTAATCATAATTTTAAACTAATAGCCCCACAATTTTTAAAATGACATTTACAGGACAACCGAAGACGTTGAACTACTAGGATTCCGTCTTCCAAAAGGCACAGTGGTCTTGCCCCAGTATGGAACTGTTCATCACGACTCACGCTACTTCCCTGAGCCAGAAAAATTCAAACCGGAAAGGTTTGTCTGTGTAATAATGTTTAATAGAATGTTATAGTCGGCAAATGAAGGAGATAAAAGCAATATTTCAGATTTCTTGACGGAGATGGCTGTTTCAAAAGAAGACCCGAAATGAACCCGTTTGGAATGGGAAAACGAACATGTCTGGGTGAGAATCTCGCACGATACGAACTCTTTCTACTGCTCACCACATTAATACAGAAGTACGAGTTCCTGCCGATAGGTAAGCATTGGATCTCATTAGCTACTTTTACACCGAAAAGTTGCATTCAAATTGCTTATATTCAGAAGGAGAACCGCTCCCATCCTTACAACGGAGTCTAGGAATAACAAATGTGCCAATGAACTACAAATGTATGGTTGTCCCAAGAAAACCATCGGTTGCGGTCTGACACTCGAAATTCGGATATTATAATTTCGAATAACATAAATTTTATTTGTGAAAATTTTCTCGAAACGGAATCGTTTCTGATCTCTAATAGAATGTCTAATCCCTTTGCATGAACATGTAATAAAAAGTGTCCCTGATCTCCATATGTTTTCGATGACTCTCTTGGATTCGATTGTCCCCACTTGCAATTTGTACCTGTAGTTGTATTCAATATATTTTGTTGATAAAGGGCTGGTCTCTCAACTGTGAAGCAATTTTGATTCTGAGCTACGTTAACTCCGAACAGTGGGTGTTAGAGGTAATCGTACAGGGCGGCTCGCCGGAACTGGGCCGCAAGCCACCACTTTCCTTTAGAGGTTGTGGCTCCATTCAGGGTAACGGAACTTCTTCCCTATCGCGGCATTCTCCCTTGCGGCATGCGGCAAATGTCACTGCAATTAGCGTACTCACCCCGCCTCCCCGCCAATCGATAGGACGCGATATTTTTTGCTGATTGCCTTGCTTTTTTATTGGATTTGATCGTTTTTTCTTCTGTTTCGTTTTCGTTTTCATGTTTATTAGACTTGATTGATTGAAATGACTCCTCCTATGCGAGCGACGATCAAGACTGCGTTGAAATGGAAGAAAGCGGTCAGCAAATTCAAATAATTGAAGGCCTCCCTACCTCACAAATTGCGCGCTCCAATCTTCCATCGCAATCCTGCGATAGGCGGCGGGTGCGACGTGTGCGACGCCGTGTTAGGGGAGAAGTTCCCGGACCCCTCCCTTTATGACACCTTCCTCGGCTCCATCGGCCAGTATGATCAGAGTCGGGTAGTTAATGGCGTAGCTCAGGATAATTTAATGTATCTAGTTCTAAACAAATAATCCGTTATAGACGAGAACAATGCAAAAGGGGTGAAAAATTAAGGAGACGAAAAAAAAAACGACGTATTAAAAGGAATACAAGGCTCCAAAAAGTAATAAATTTAAGGGTCGGGCGAGAATAAGACGGCACAAGTTGTGCGGGAGAGGCAGTTGGGAGAGACGTTCAGATCTTTACGTTATTGCGTACAGCTGTCTACCGTAAGCTGCCTGCGTGCAACGCATGCGTCTTGGAGCGAATCATGCAATCTTTACAGCCCCTACAACGCAGTGAAAACTCGTCCGCCGTGGCGATCGGAACGTGAGGAAAACAACACACTGGCTCAAGATGGTGGCTGCCAAGTGGCCACCTTTTGCTCTTCATAGGACGCCCGGCCAAGCGCCGAACTGGCGACGTGCGTGCTTTCGCGACGAGACCCCAGCGCATCGCATTCTATGAATCGACCTAACATTCTACGAATCGGCTGAAAGATGCGGCATGGAGAACGTCCGTTGCGCGCGTCCGTCGAAAGTAGGTCACCCCGCCCACTTCGCGCGCGGCGTACCCCACTGAGGTCTTGAGATGTTGTTACAGTACCACATAGTGTCAGTGGAGCGATTGATTTGCATTTGTCCGTGTTATCTTCTCTTTGGCTGAGTGCCATGGAGCAAGCNCAATTCGTATGCTGACAACTGCGACGTTTGTCAAAGACCGCAGGCTGACCTGCCGCATGCGACAACTGCGGCGTGACCTAGTTCCGACGGACGCGCGCAACGAAGCGCACCCGTACGGCGTAGGGAACAGCTAAGCCCATTTCAGATGTCACAGAGAAGCATGTCACTGAATCCTGGGATCGATGCGGCAAAAAACACGATTGAAACTGGGTTCCAGAGATGCATTTAGACCCAACAATTTGTGAGATTAGATATGCATGACCAGAATTCGATCATAAGCAGATTGCACCATTTCTTTTTGAAGAAAAACTTGAAGCAAAAAGAGCTAATTAAAAAACAAATAAAATCCGTACTACAAATATAGTAATTGTTGATCGCACGCCTGTACAAATGCTGCTGGTCCTTCTCAGCTTTCCACTACACCTCATTCTGATGAAGAGCAAAACTCTGAATGAAAAACTCTTTGGTTCTAGACATGAGAAAGAAATAGTAAATAACATAACTTTTGCAATCAAAGTAAATTCTCAGCTTCACCTCTTACAGACTCAGCGTGTAGGGTTGTGACACGATTGCCAATGGCCGTCGCACGCCAATAGCGCACGCGCTCGATTATGCAAAGTGAGAGGACGGAACTTACGTGCGTCCGAGGATGCGCGCGGCAAATTGCACAGCGAAATCCATGGTGATTTCAACGACTTTAGCGCCTATCATTGGGGTCCAACTTTGAACTTGATTAGATTAGAATGATCGGCTGACCCTACTAAACTACTATACTTGAATTTTCGCCCTGAAAATATGCGCCAGAGTCGTTCGAATTCGCGCAATTCGCCGCGCGCATTCCATACGCACGTCTGTACCCGGGTGTATGGACGAACGTGCGTGCGAGGACGCGTGCGGCAAAGCTCGTATCGATTTGAACGACTTTTAGCGCCTATCATTGGAGCCCAAATTTGAAGTGGAGTTGATTAGAAGGATCATTTGGCTCTACTTAACTACCCTACTTAGAGTTTGTGCCCCAAAAATTGGCGTCAGAGTCGTACAAATCGTCACGAAGTTCGCCGCGCAAGTTGTCGAGCGCATCCTCGGACGCACGTCTGTACCCATACACCGCAGTGTCCGAGAAGCCACGAGGGGGACGTTCGATTCGTGCGATTCCGGGTGCGCGCGGCGAAATTCGCGATGATTCGAACAACTCTGGCGCCTNGCACGCGCCCGATTACGCAAAGTGAGAGGACGGAACTTACGTGCGTCCGAGGATGCGCGCGGCAAATTGCACAGCGAAATCCATGGTGATTTCAACGACTTTAGCGCCTATCNCGGGTGCGCGCGGCGAAATTCGCGATGATTCGAACAACTCTGGCGCCTATCATTGGGGCACAAACTTGAAGTAGAGTACTTTAATAGGGTCGGACAATCCTACTAGCCTACTTTACTTCAAATTTGGGCCCCAATGATAAAAGCTGCAGTCGTCCAAATCGCACCAAATTTCGCCGCGCGCACCCAGAATCGCACAAATCGACACACACCCAAGCCACGAGCTCGTCGATGGGACCAGTTGTGTTCCTGTTATAGGGACATGAACATACAAGTCAAACTTGTTAGTACCTGTCGAGCGTCTAAACGAGTTAAAGAAACTCTCATGCCAGATCGCCTGATAAAATTCAAATTTTGCGCTTGCGGTAGTAAATTCAAACGACGCCCGGGAGATTCATACTCCTCGCGCGCGGCCATGACGCAAATCGATTTATTCTGCTTCCGGATCATTTCTATCAATTTTCGAAAGTTCTATTGTTCTCAAGTGGTTTTTCAGTCTTGCACCAGAGCTTCCATCTTATTAACAATGTTTGTATCTATTTTTTACTGAAGCGCTAGAGAAGTCAGATTCTCGCTGGCGCTATGCATTTTGAAATAATTTTGGGATTTTCCTGTCAGATTACTTGAAATTCATCACTAAATATATGCCGTTAGTTCGTTGCTTAAACTGTCAAGAATTTCGGCGGATTCAAACTTTTCAATTCACGATAGTAAATTACTGCACAAACACTCCTCTTACACATCCTTTTGTGGTTCAGTTAACAGCTAGGTTTAGACGGCTTGAGTCGCAAGTATAATCGGTTCAAGATTGTAGGCGCTGACTCTTTTTTTTGTGAGAAACACCATTCCGTCTAAGCTCATCATTAATGGATATAAATGACGTTTTGGCTCGTTTTGAACTGGTTGCAAAGTGCAGAAGTTAGCCATACGATACGGTCTTGAGAGTATAGGTATAGTTATTTCTCAGTAACATAGACTTTAATAACCAGACCCAGATAGACACCTCGAGTGACCGATTGCAAAGTTCTACTGGATGCCGAGAGTAATAAAAAACTGTCGTTGTTCTAAATGTTGATTTCCAAGGGTAACAGGTAGGATTTCATGGGCTGCTCTGGTTCTCTAAAACTGTTCTCAGCCGTAGTGTTGACGACATATTCGATTTCTTAGGAGCTGTAAGAAGACTTAGCCGAATAGGTTTTGGTTAATGTATCAGTCTAGTTTTGCAGAGTCCACAAATTCGTTTTGAACTGCTTATTCTAGTGAAATAGATTTGTTACACATCAGCAACTAATCAGAGATAAGTAATGGTGACTGCATTAGTTGAATTTTGTCGCTTCCTCTTGCCCAATCCGTATTTAAAATTTTTTTCATTCGCAATTGTTTTTTACTTGTTGTAGCCTCAAATTTCGGAATAGCTTTCGGAAGCAGGTTTCGTTCGCTACAAATTCATGTCGATGTCGAAAGTTATTTTTCATTCAGAATATTTCCTTGTATCCTGTAGTTTTTCGTAATTCTGCCCCGACATAGAGGATGGCAGGTAAAGCCAGTATCAGGGTGAATTCACATTGTGCCACGCCAACATCATCTCGAAGGGCAAAAAAGAGCGTAAGAATATACTTTTTTTGAGTTTCCTTCACTTTAAATTTTGTGCTAGTTTTAGTAAGTTTTCTTTGTCAAGAGCTGAATGAAATGATTCTTGCTTCCTAAAATGAAATGCTTCCCTTACAGGCTATCTTTTCCATCGCTTCGTATTTCCCAGTACGTAAACGTGGTAGCTCGGCATCTCCAGAACTGTATGGAAAGAGACGAAGGCGTGGTGCAACAGTTTCAGATGCAGAATTCTTGTCACCAAAAGGTATACTCCCACACGCCACACCCTTGCGTTACCGATGCTCTGGTGATCAAGGTGATCAGCTTTTCTTGTAGCCCTTTTAGAGTAGCTCGAAATCAAGGCCATTTCGCCCGTCTTGCCTCTTGACTTCGAATATTTTTCCAATGACAATAATTATTTCTCTATTCAGAGCAGCAAGCTGGTAGCGGTCAGGAAGCCGCATTTGGCCGCAATATTGTGCGATCATCAACTGCACTCGGTATCTTTGAAGATCTGCCACCTGGCTTGTTTCAGTTTATGATCGACAACCTCGATAGTAAGTTGCTGACGAAACATCTGAAATAAAAAAATACTCGTTTCTTCTGCAAAATTTTCAGTACCATGTTTAATCTCACTGGGCTTGTCCTCATCGGCATGGAACGCACATGTTCTGAATTACGTTCACTCGAATCTATTTCTCCAACGCGTTCTCCGAGAGAGCAGTGAATTTGTGAATAGCGGATTTAATAATATTGACAACTTCTTCACCTCTATGGACCCGTTTTATCATTATGGTATGTCTATTATATATTTTTTGCCATTGACATACATATATTGTCTCACGTCCTTTGGTTGAAATTTGATTTAATTTTTTAACGGCACACATTCAAGATAATCCTGGAAAACCCTGCCAACCAATTTTAGCACCCGATAATAGGACTCTTATTCGCTCTGGATAATGCGTCTTTGGATCTGAACCTAAATACCGCTAACACTGTAAAATGCACTCGATGTATACTGGACCGTAGTTTCCTAAACCTCGAAAACTAAATCCTATGGTACCGGTATGGTAATCGTGCTAAGTCAATCACGTATCAAGTTGGACTGCGCATTCCTCGTGTCTGTCGGCAGACTTCTACCAACCCAATTTAATGGCGCTCAGTTGGACTGGTGGAAGTGGGTATGAGCTGAAGTAGTTGGTGTTTGAAACACATCCTGGCTTAACATCATATTGAGTAGTAAAACTCCAGGGCTCTACAGCTGTACAGTTTTTGTTTTATCTTACTCATAGCATTGCAACGTATAACTTGTCATCATTTCTTTAACGGCTGCCGTTGTAATTCCTCTCCTTACCTCATTTCCGCTACACTTTGGAAAGAGCTCAGGATGAATTTTTCGTGTTTTTGCCCTAAAATCCAGAACTTCTTCTTTCCTTTCTCGACCGCGCACACTAAAAGGTTCCTTACTGAGGTCATGGACTTTCTCGCTCTTTCTCCCACCTATGAAGCATATGATGTAGAACTTTGCTTTGTTCCTTTTCAAGAATTTCGAAGAGACAGGTGTCATCATTTACTAGTTTCAGCGTAATCTGGGAGCAAGATTTCTTTCGACAGCTTGCAGTATTTAGAAGATTAATCACAAGATGAGATTGTTTCAATTCAGGCAAGCTTCTGAAATCTGTGTCTGTATGTTTTCCCACATCTAAAAGGATCGCTACATTGATGCACTTCTGTGATCGAGTACTCGCTTATGAGGAAATCGATAAATTCGGAGTTGGAAGGACGATACACACGGTACGCTACCACTGAACCTTCGATAGCTGAAACCTATAAAATGTAATTTCCTTGCAGATGTGCTCCAAATGGGCATTCCCTGAATGTGCTAAAGTGCTGCAAGCAGTCCTCAAAAGAAATAACAACCAACTGCAAAATGCGTTGAAACGAATGTCGTCCAGTGAAGCTGGATCAATGCCTGCTGTGGAAATGGAGGTGGCATAAATGAGATCTACTTATCAGTGGCTGAATTGTGGTTTTTAACTGTATCATTCCAGCTACGGGAAAATCTCCGCCCTTTGTTACTATCTGGTCAGTGTGCTCAATATGATGGAGCAGATATCGAATACATGTTTTGGTTGTCGGCTGTAATGCATACAGTAAAGGAACCGATAGCTCAAAGTAAGCTCCTTATGATATTGTTTGGACCGGGCAAATGCGATGGGACTGAAGGTACGTAATTTTTCCCTAATCAATCTGAGTATACGAGGCAATTTACAGTACCTCCAAAGTTTTCCAATTTCAGTAACAATCGATTGGAGCCTTTTTTGTGAACATGTTATTGCTCCCTTCAAATTGACGGAAACCTTAATCAAACCCCTCGCTGATGAACTACTTCTTCTATTGGAGACCAAGAAGTTGGACAATGAAAAGTATTCATGGAGTCAGCACGATGTATTTAATATTGTTGAGGAATTGACCAGTTGGTTTTTCTTTGAATGGTTAAGGCGGCTATCTGTAGCTTTGCACATAGTTGAGGAATCGCTGTTCCAGCAACTCCTGAACCATGGTCCTTTGACAACTTTGTAGCTTTGCTTCTTCATCAACCTTCACTTATTCCGGTTTCACTCATCGCTCGGATGAATCATAACTATGCAGATGAAGCTTGCCTCATGTTCCTCACCTTCATGACAGTAAGTGTCAGGGCCGAGTATAGTTCAAGCTCAGCCTAATTTGTTTTTCATTCTCATGCCGGTTTTGAGCCCTTTCGTTTTGTTCTTTTCTTCGAAACTAGCAAGTTGATCACAGAAGTTGAGCACAAAACTGTAACTTTCCATGAAACGGCTAATTTCAGACAGCTTATCGGTGGAATATGAACGTTTGCGAGGCCATTCAACAGCCGATCCTACAAACCATGCGGAGTTTAACGAGACAGCGCGGACGACAGTTTTATGATTGCATTTGTGACCAATATGCCAATATGCTGAAGCAGTTATCCAGTCGAGGCCAAGGTACTCATTCAGATTCTTGTCGTAGTCATAATCCTGGACCTCGAAGACGAGTTGTCTGGTTCACAGTTTTCTAGTGTTCGGGTCACCATTTTACAGATCTGCGATTGATTGAGCTTAGCTTACACCCTTTCTCCAAAATAAGGCCCTATTCGTCCAGTGGGCCTTGACGTGTGATATCTATTAGGGCATAATAGTCATAGTCCAAGTGGAAGTCATGATATTGATGGTGTAGTAGAACTGGGATTTTGTTCCCAGAAAGTACTTTGACGGAGTCTAACTTTTCTTTATCAGTTTTTCTATCTTACGAGCTACACTTCACGATCTATAATGATGCCGTAGGGCTAAGGATCCAAAATCTCATACCTTTGTTGCGAAACCGAACATCGCCCATTGAGGTATTACTAGGAATTTTTTTAAGATGCTGCCGTGGAGCTGAACATTTTATTAGCTGCACATGCCCAAGCAGCTCCTCTATTTAGAGAAATGTCTACGTTACTGTGGTGAACGCGGCTGGCATGTAAGATAACTTTATTTCCTCCAGAACTTGTTATTTTCAGTTTACTTTCGTACAGATTAGCTTGATTTTCTTGTTTTCTTTGGGTAAAATAAGCTAATATCCTCCCAAGACAGGCGTTAGATTTCCTATTGTTTCTCTTCTGGGTGGTGCACCACTTTAAAAAGCTTTTTAGTAGTAAAAGAAATTGAGCTATATTTTACGCAGATTCTGNTTAGTAGCTTTAGAAATGTATCTATTTTGTACAGCTAGTTTGCTCATGGTTTTTCTATCAATCTTCGACTTTCTTGTGAATATTTTTCAGTGATTAGTCTGTATATCTGTGAATTGTTAGTTCGGTATTCCACAATAACATCCTTCGTGAAGGAGAACATTTCATCCGAACTCCATCTGTCCTAGTACCTAACATTCCAATTACAATTATGACATCCATTTCTGGCGCAGTATTATCGTTCAGACCTTTGCTGACACCTTCTATTGGATCCCATAGCTCCCTGATCCCTGAAATTAAAAGAATCTGATACACTTTACTTGATTTTTCGCTCTGAGTTTTAGCTGTAGGTTGACGTGGCCGAAAAAGGTTTTCAAGCTCACGACTTTTGATACCACCAATTTTCCGATTGCGTCAAACAGTGCCAATATCAACAAAATGACGTTTTTTTAATCGGAACCGTAAACTTCCACAGATGAGGTTTGAGATGTGATACTGATACTCTTTCTCGCTAGGGTGTTATAAGTGGATAGTACCATTGTTTTCTGTTTTCATGTATTGATATTTTATGGGAGATTGTTCGGGTTTTCAGATTTTGATAGTTCTGTTGAGTCATGTGATTTGTTTGTCTGTGAATAAAATGTTATTTGTGTTACATGTGTTTCCATTGTTTCATTTGTTTCCTAATAGTTACCACAAGAGACGATGTGATGGCTTTAGGCGGCCCTGGAGCCACCCACTTCTAGTTTCGAGCGAGCTCGAATGAGGACACCTTTGACTTTCGTTCTCTCTACCCGTTTATTATAAAATGGGATTTGTAGGTATGATTACCATCACGGACATCGACGTAGCCCTACGTTCATCACGTCGCTCTTGCTGCCAAGACCGCAAACCTATTTATATAGTCGCTAGAGGTAATTTGTGACCCTTCTGAAGAAATCTTTCAACAAACTCCTTTCCTGAAGACATCTCGAATGGAACTCCTGAGACTTCTTAAAATGAGGCGATTAATACGAAGTCTTACGGTACTGTGACAGCTGTGAGTCCATCTCACAGATGTCGACCCATTACCGTAAGGGCTAATAAAAAGGGTTTCTGCTAACATTGAGCCCATACAGCAAGCGTTACTAGTAACTTCGGCTGTACTTTCGGACGGACGGTAGAATTTTCGATTTAATCAAGTTTCTGATTCTGGTTCTGTCCCTTAAACAAGGGGTCTTCTGATATGACGTTACTTTTTTCAAATACGGCAAAGTTTTGCAATGAATCAGCTTCGGAAAGTTATGCAATTTTATCAGTGATACCGCCCTCGTCGTTGATTCAGTGTTCCTGATAACGACACGAATTTAAGCGTGGCGAAACCTTGATCAGCCTTCTATCAGAGGCAGCCGTAGAAATGGACATTGTACGGGTAGTACTCATCATTGGCAATATCGTTTTTCTGATATTATCCGTCACATTCATTATTTTATTCGCTACAAAACACGGTGAGTTTTCAGTTTTAAGAAGGAGCCTGCTTTGATTTAAATGGAAACCTAAGATGGCTCAAAATCTCGTCCATATGGTCAGTTGAGAATTCTTGCTACTTTAGGCTACCCTTCCAGGGTCTATACACCCAATCCTAGAAAACGCTTCAATTTGCTTTTTTGTCTTCAAGAAATTCTTTTAGAATATTCTTTTTCGATAATAGGCTTTCTTTGACATTCCTTATTTTGTATTAAGCTAAGTTCTAAAATTGTCGTACACGAGGAAATTTTGTGAATTTCGGACACATGTCAAGGGAAACGTCCTCGTACAAACTGCTTACGGGATGAGGTTGACGACAAATAGACTTTTACCTAGATTTAACAGCTTATTTGTTTGTCAATATTTTCGGATTATAGAGGAAAGGTTTCTATACTAGGGTTTTGGGGCCAGCTTTATACGAAATGGCTTCAAAAAGGATGAGTTTTCTGAGTTTTCCTCAAATTTCCCGTGATTGGTTCAACAATTAGTGTAATTATTTGNAATAATGACGAATCGACCACCTAAAAACTGAGAAGTCCTCTTGACTGTAAGCAGCTTCTAGGCACTCTTTTCAGACTCGTCGTCCGGATTTTTCCTGACATCACCTTCGTTACTTTTCAAGAGCAATGATGAATTTAGAAATGCGGTATGTAGACTCCATGGAATTCCATTGGCCTTTTTGATATTTATCTGGTTTTCCTACTATAATTTATTGAAAAGTAATGTTTAGTTGAATTCACGACTGACCTCAAAGTACTCTGTTGGCAGTCTCGCAACCGAGTTCTCATCGTGAGTTTGTTCTACATTTTCTAATATGGTTGCGGTTTAAGGATACGGTACTTTCATTGAATAGAATTCATGTTGCAGTTCATTCGCTACGGCCGTGTTCTCATTGCGTGGATCCCAATCATTACAAGATGTTCAATCATATGTTACTGGCAATGAACAACTTCAACTTGCTAACATTACCGGTTAGTATCTTGAGAAACCCACTCAGGATAGTTTACCCGAATTCCGAGCTCCCAAACCTCTGTAGTCCTTCAGGGAAGAAATTCACAAAAGGAACGTTCGATATGTGATCATCTCCTCGGAAGTTAAACCATCCAAAGGTTATTGGTAGCTTTGGTACCGATCTTCATAATAAGACTTGCCTCTGCTCTAAAGAACAATATAAGGCTGGAGGACTCGTTCTTGCTGGACAGACTTACCACCTTTTGTCATTGTATAGGCAACATCTTTTGCAGGCTATTTTTCCCAGCTCGGAAATTTCATCAGAATCGTTTGAGCGTTATCGCCTATGACATTTTCATCATTCTAGTCTTCTCCGTGCGTTTTGTTTATTTAAGCGGCTCAGGCTGATAGGCGTACATACTTCGCTCTTTTCGCTCTTTGCTTATCTCAATCCCTAGGGCTTAGTTATTGATAAGCAACAGTCGTGCACATCCTTTGTTACGAAACTTTACTGAAACGTTTGAAACAGTTGGGATTACCAGGAACAGGGATTACCAATTGGAAATACTATTTTCACAGAGGGGGCGTTAAAGGGGGGTGAAGGTGGTTAGCAAGTGTCGTACTATCCCAAACTCATGGCCTATAGTTCGGATCTTAGATAGATTCCAGGTCGACCAGACCTTCGATCCCTCCGGTGTCTGATAATTGGCACCAAACTCATCTGGGAGATTATAAGCATTGACTACTACACTAGCTGGTCACCGCTAGTCATTGTATAGGCCACATGCGCATCCAATAGGTGACTGATCGACGCCTAACACTTAATCCTCTAATCATTTCAGAAGGATCAAAGGCATTGGAGGTCTGTGCAGCAGTTCATCCAGATGTATATATCCCCTGTACTACGCAGGCACCACCCGCTACTGCTAATCCAGCATCATGTGAGTTATTGTGTTACTGGATCCGAAAGCCAAGTATGAACCCTCGATAGGATCGCAACTACCAACGATTTCAGATTGCAACGGGTTCTTGAATAGGGACATAGTCCTACTGGTGGATACTCTGGTTTCACCTATGAAAGATGACAAACAGGCCGCTCTTAAACAAGTTGGAGCCGCTGTACGTTTATACTTCAATTCTGAAATATCGCAGCGACGGGTTCGATTCCCGTCCAAGACTGAAGGATTTGCCAATAACTTAGCTCCCTTACTGCCATAGGTTATTGACTTAAGTATGTTGATCCTTACAGCTTACCACTGGTATTCCATTCGGGACGGGTGTTCGTGTAGCGATTGTCACTTTGAACGGAGCTGTGAAAGTCAGCGATTTCGTCTCTGATGCTGCTTCATTCACTACGGCTTGGGCAAAGGTGAGTCAGCAAGCCGTCTGCTTTCGGCCGAGTACTCTAAATGGACCCAATGGCTCAGTTGATTTCTGAAATTTAAGCTTCTCGCCCTGCCATTCACCGATACAGCAGCTTCAATTGACGTTCAACCTGCTTACGAGGTGGTTAAGTCGCTTCTCAGCCAGCAGATTCCTATGGAAGCAATCATCATTTCCGATCATCCCTTGTAAGTTTGGAACGCCGGATTGAGAGTTCTAGGCTAGGTAAACAAATGAATAAACAAACAAGTAAGCGAATAAATTGTCGAGTAAATATACAAATAAATTCGGACAAAAAAGTAGATAATTGGATAACTTCAATTGGAGCGGGACATATAAATGTTCACAGCATGCATTTTGTCTCAGTACAGTAATCTGTCCCTGATTACGGTAAGCTGCTTTCTGGAAATTGGTGAGCGATTTCATTGATTGAACTTAAATATCAGGGTTTTTCAGAGGAGCTATCGACCCTGTTAATGATATCCGTCTCAAAGGAGTGTTCGTCAGTGCGGTGGTACCGACAAATGTGAACTTGTTGTGAGTTCTGCTGATTTCTTATTCAGTAAAACAGAATAGTTATTGATTCAAGAATCGATTATTCCGCAGAAGTATAAACCCATTTGTTCACAAACAAAGAAGTTATTCAAAAAAACTTTAAAAACCTAAAATTCCAGTGGTTATGATAAGCTGACTACGGTAAAGAAGGCGTATCCAACATGGAATGCTATGGCAATCGTAAATCCTTTCTCTACACTTCTCTGCCAATGTAATCGTTTACAATTACAAATATTTGCCCTTCAGATTTGTTTTGATCTCGAGAAATCGAATTATTTTTTCTATTTAGACTCCGACGCACCAGCGCCAGCGCCAAAAGCCCTTCTAGTTCAATCAGCTCAAGCGGCTACTGATGGTTGGTAGAGACGATACTGTAATGGTATCGTAGTCATCTCTCTTGTCACTTTGATATTACTTTTTTCAGACAATCCAAAATGCCAGAAGTTGGACATTATTGTGGTGTTCGATACTTCGCAAAGTGTTGTAGAACCGTTCATAAAGGTAAGCATTGCCTCAAATAGTTCTCTTAGGTAATTTAGGGCAACATGGAACTTTAGGAAATCACTGACTCTGAACTCTCTCAGCTCCTTAAAGGCACCGTTTACGATAAATTCAGGGTACCCTTTTTTGTCGGGAATCCATAGAACTACTCTAGAATAAAGCGATAACAACGGAAAAAAGCGCAAAAAACGATGAACAAGAAGAAATAGAAAGGTTCAAAAAAGAGCTGGAAAGGGGGGTTGGACGAGTTTCACATTGTAAGAACGGCGGTTAAGGGAGTGTTCGGGCGAGTGCAGGAAGGCGACGCAATGTCTGCAATAGCAGACAACACACTCAAGCAGACAACTTCGCTCCAATGCGAAAGTGATGAACGGCAATTAGATTTCGTAGTCAGCCTAGCGAGGGGCGGAGGCCTCCCGTCCCCCACTGTTCCTGTCCTTATTGTGCCCTATCCAGACCGTTTTCCGACCTCATTCCTGCACAAATGGTATCAAAGGGAGCGTCGAATTCAAACCATGTGCAGTTCTCCAAAACCACTTTTTCGTGAACAGTGCCTTTAAGAGAAAAACTCTACTGGGAACGAAGCAAAAAGCAATTTTGGATTCATGTCACCTTCTTCTTTGGTGGCCACATAGTTTTTGAGTAGTTTTTGAAAGAGGGCGTGGGAGTGCATCCATCATAGCGCTCGCGTGAGCATGCAACGCGGTCATACGACGCGTGTTGTCTGCGCGGTTGAATAATGCATCAAGTCCTAGGCCAACTAATAGTTGCCTGCACCATAGTGTCCGAAAAGAACCCCGTTATTTGGCTCTCAAGAGAAATTAGGGGAGGTAGGAGCTCTGTAATTTAATATTCGAGCAAAGTGGTCCAAATAATCAGAAAATCTGATTGCAACCACACCAGCTCACTACCTACTTTTATTTCAGAAATATGTTGATTTCTCGAAAAAGTTCATTGCACAGTACACCCTTAGTGGAGCAGTTGATGGAGACAACTCTCGCACAGGAATAATCTCATTTAGGTTTGATTACATCTACATTTGGCATACTGTAATTTAATCTATTATAATTACTGTATTGCAGTTCGGACGTGTCGATAGTGCGTAACTTGGGAGAGCGATCTCTTGATGATTTCAACGCGGCAGTGGATGGGATTCATTACACCGGGGGAACGTCCAATACACTCGCGTGAGTCCAACGGCCATCTTGGCGGTTACCATCTCTTCGGGGTTATTTTTTTTTGCTCAGAAAAACTCACAAAAAAAACTTGCAGAGCAATGAAAGCCGGGCGGGATATGTTCAAAAATTCTGGTGGAACGACCCATGGCCGAACTATGGTATTCCTTTCCGATGGCCAGTAAGTCTTATGGTTCCACCTATGGAGAAGAGGTCCTTACTGCATGAGGATTACAATTTTCAGGCCATATCCCTTGACACCTGACACATGGACCGAAATAATAAGCGTAGGAAGTGAACTGAAACAGATGGGAGTCGATATTTTCTTCGTTGGAGATGACAACGGTTACGATAGCGATACGAGAACGGTGAGAATCTGGGCGCTTTCAGGAATTTCGGAATTTTCTGATTTGATAGGAAACAGCTTGCTGAGCCGGTTCCTTATTTACTTGTTTACTTGCTTGTTTACTTGTCTGTTTATAACTGACATTTTTATGGCAAAGTACGTCAATAGGTATCAGCTTGACAACGAAAATCTTCGGTGTCTTAAAAATGCCTACGTATAAAGAGGGACAGAGGTGGTGCAGTGGTAGAAGGCTCACCGTCGCATATGAATAGTCGGCGGTTCGAGTTCCGGATCTGTATCCAACCAGGCCAACCGGGCCTTTCACCCCTGCGGGGTCAATTAATTGGTACCAGACTCGTTGGGAGGATAGAAGCATCTGACTCCTACATTGGCTGTCCGGCACACCCCATTGTATTGACCTCATACGCGTTCGAAAACGAAAGACCACTTCGGTTTCTAATGGAAGGCGAATGCGGGGCGCTCCCCAGAACGGGATCGACTGGTGCCAATGCCTTTATCCTTCACCCTTTAGAGGACCCAAAGGCTAGAAAAAAGCTCTGTCGAAAAACTTCAGCGTGTTAGAAATCATTGGAAAAATCGGAACTATTTTAGGTTCTTTCCAACATCACCGGCAACACCAACTGGGTTTTCAATACCACTTCGGACGCTATGGTAAACCTTACAGCTGATTTAGTCGTCGAGTTCCCATGTCCTCCACTAAGTACGTTGCTGGTTTACTTTTATGATCGTAATTAGATGATTTTGAGAAATATTTAAAGAGATTTTTGATAATTTCAGTCTGTGAAATGGCCTACTACGCTGTGGAGCTGTCTGAGATCCTTTCTGAGCAAGCTAAAGTTCAGGTGAGTGTCGGGGTGGTTGTCAAAGCAATTCAGCTCCCTATATACCGTAATTTAGAGTTTGAACTTTATTCTGCAAACAGCCCAGAACGTCTACACTGCTAAGAATACTACCCAGTTCCAATTGATGGTATACAATGACATGCAATAGTAAGTCTTCCCTTACAGTATACCTTTTCCTCACGAGTACACGATAAATGGGCGTTGCTGCGTTGCGGTCAACGATTTTGATCGGTACTTTTTGAAGCTACTACTTTTTTCGGAGTCAATTAGTCAACTAGCTTGGAAGAAAGCATGAACTCTCGATTGATTGATCCCTTTGCAATCTCAGCGCTTAAAACGCGTCGCGACCTCCTCGGAGGCGGCCAGGAGTACCCCTGCGGCCGCCGCGACGAAACTAGGTCACCGCGCGCGGCGCGGCAACTGTCCGGTCTGATCTTAGCACTTCACGAGGAAATTTGAATTGCCTCATAATAAAAGCAATTTAGCTTGTTGCCAAATGACGGTAACTATTCGTTTGAGAACTTCAAATCCGTTTTGAATTCACTCATCAATAATTCGACCTACAGGGGATCGTTTTCAAGTGGGCATACAAGAATCGATACGTAAGTTCAGTAGTCTTCGAACACTCTTCTGGGCGGAATCCCTTATCTTTCCATTCAGGGCATTCGACTTTCTCACAAGGGAAATGAACATTCAACAACTTCGTCGTCCCTTCTTCCAGAGCAGTGTATTGTTCGCAGGACAAGCCAAGTGAGCAGAACAGCAAAGTTCCAGTTCTATTCCCATTCGAATGCTTATAATACCGGGTGAACGATCCTACAGAGTTCGTAGGCCTTGTCAACTTCATGAGAAACAGGGCAATAGAGGCTCTGACTGCTAGTGTCCCATCGTTGGTCGGAAAACTTTAAAGGCGCAGTTCACGATAATTTTAAGGTAGCCGTTTTTATTCAAAATACGGAAGTATACATTGGGACATCGGTAGTGAAGAAAGTGAAAGAATTCGCCGATTCTAAGGAAAATACGGCTCCTCAAAGTAGGGAGAATAGAGTTGGAGTTGGACGAGATTGCCATGACGCAGCTAACATGGAAGGGGTATTCTGTCGAGATTTCAGTTTTGCAATTGCACAAAGAGCTGACTATATTAAGCCAGAACTGTACAAAATTGCCTTTCACTGTCACTATAGGTTATGACAAGTTATTTGAACTTCCTACATGGGTTCCCTTGTGATCGGTGCAGCTCTATAATGCCGATGAAACTCGTCCGAGGGTACACACAGGCCAATCTTTGAGCCTTTATAACTCCCTAACTAGGCCGTTTTCCGACCTAATAGTGCCAGATATGATATACGCGGGGGGTCCCAAATTCAGCCTGTGAGGAAGTCTCAGAAACCATTTTATCGTGAATTGTGCCTTTGATGCAGCCTTAAAACAGCCTCAGTTGACATAGGATCAAGCTGTAACCCTCCATTCGCAGAATCTATCTCATTGTTTCAGCTCTGGAGTTTTGGATCCACTCGGAGACGAGAATACGCAAATAAGTGATCTGAAGACCTCAGTTAAAAACGTGAGTTTTACCGCAAAAGTGTGAACCATCTGCCAATTTACGGTATTTTTTGAAAACCCGGGTAAAAGTTGCCAAAATTCAGATGCAACTAATCTGTCCGCTGATCTACGTTTTGGACAATTCCAAAGGGAACACTCAAGTCTATGGTGATGATCTGTGGAGTCAGGTAACGATCTGCCCAATTGCTTAGAATTTTTGAAAACAAAAAAGTTGCTTCTATTCAATTGTTTTTCATTGAAGGTTGTTCCTTCGGCGAGAACCATCAGTCTGGCATCGAATAATCTAGAAAAAGATTTGGAAAACACTGATTACTATCCAAAACTTCAAGCACTCGACTGTAAACTACCTGCTGAAGGTCTGCTCATTGAGATTTCCCGAAACAGGTTCTCCTTGATCTTCTAAAGCCGCATCGGAAGGAAAACTTTTAGAGTTTAAATATTCCAGAAAATTTTAGGGAAGCAGAAAAATTTCACAAAATAATATGAAAACAGTAAGCAAAACGATACAAACATGATTTTTGGCCATTGTGGTGACTACTGCTGCAGGCTGTAATGTTACCCATTACCCCCTTGGCACAATTTGAAGCAAATTTTACATTTTCACAGCACCGTACTTATATCAAAGCCCCGTTGTGTTTACCCGAATACATATGTTCATTTTCCTAAATATTATACAAATACAAAACGAGTAAAATGGTCAACGAGTATACAGCTTGAAGTCTAACCCCCCACCCCCCCTGCCAACCCCAGGAGCTTTCTACCAGCCTACGAGCTTTATAAGGAAAAGATGCCTGTCCAGTTTGAGAGGAGATTGATCTTGTAAGCGAGATCTCACAGCCACATCCCCAGCTAAGAGATCAGCATGGAGAAGACTTTCTTACTATTCTGATTTTGACTGAAGTGAATTTCTTCATCTTCAGCTCAATGCAATCTGAATTTCATCGACATGATTGTTGCTTTCGATCTAGTCAGTGCTAAGTCTACGAACGTAAGTCGGTTTGATTGTAAACAATTGTTTTGTGTTTGTTTGTATGGTTGTTTATGTGTTCATGAGATAGTAGCAGCATGGTTCTATCGATGGTGGTTTCAGGTAACGAACTATGTGAACACACTTTTGAGTCAGTTCAATACGATCTATACAGGTATGTGATCAGTTATGTTGAAGATTTCCTCAAGAATGAGCCATGTATAAGCACCTTAGTCATAATCAATCCAACATTTGGAAGGTGTCAGACTTATGCAATGTATACCAATAGTTAGTTGCATCTGGAAACAACCTCTTAGATCGTCTGATTAGCTTGGAATCGGTGGATCACCCTGAGAGTTGAGTTCCCCAGATCCGAATAGGACCCAATTGTGTGGCTTTGATGGCATGAGTAGCAGCTCCTCTA